CTTTGGGCCAATTGGAGGAAGAGTAGTGGGGTACATGGGGGGTAAGAAAGTTGGTGGAATGAGATAGACATCATTAACCTAGGTACATGTATAACTGGTGCAACTCTACATTGTATACTACCAGAGAAATAAAAAGTTGTGCTCCATTTGTGTACAATGAACCAAAATGCATTCTGCTATCATGTATAACTAATTAGAATTTTTAAAAAAGAAAAACAAACTTGGAGACATCACATCCCTTGATTTCAAAGTATATTATAAAACTATACAAATCAAAACAGTATGACACTGGCATAAAACCAGATACCTAGACCAATGGAACATAATGGAAGGCCCAGAAACAAACTGAAGCAAACAGTAAACTAATTTTGACAATGGCATCAAAAAGATACAATGGAGAAAGGCTAGTGTCTTCAATAAATGTTCAAGAAACTGGATATCCACATGCAGAAGAATGAAATTAGACCTTATCTTATACCATACACAAAAATCAACTCAAACTGTATATAAGAGAACTAAATACAAGGTCTAAAACCATAAAACTGCTAGAATATAGAGTAAAAGCTCCTTTACATTGTTAATTAATTTTTTGATATGACAAACAAAAGCACAAGTAACAGAAGCAAAAACAAACAAGTGGGACTATATCAAGCTAAAAATCTTCCATAAAACAAAGAAAACAATCTACAAAATGGATAGGTAGCCTACATATTAGCAAAAAATATTTGCAAATATATATCTGATGGGAGAGTTCAATATCCAAAATATATAAGAAACTCACATAACTCAATAGCAAAAAAATAAATAAATAAAAAATAAACCCTGATTAAATATTGGCAATGGAGGGCTAAGTTTGTGGCTCAATGGTAGAGCACTTGCTTAGCATGTGCAAGGCACTGGGTTTGATCCTCAGCACCACATAAAAAATAAATAAATAAAATAAAGATATTATGTCCAACTACAACAAAAAACATTTTAAAAAATATTGGCAATGAATTTGAATCTCTTTTCTCAGAAAAAGGTATAAAAATAGTCAACAGAAGCTGGGTGTTGTGGTGAGACCTGTAATCCCAGCATATTGGGAGGCTGAAATAGGAGGATCACAAGTACAAAGCCAGCCTCAGCAACTTAGTGAGCATCTAAGCAACTTAGTGAGACCCTGTCTCAAAATAAAATATAAAAAGGGCTAGGGATGTCACTTAGTGCTTAAACACCCCTGGGTTCAAGTGCCAGTACAGGTACATGAAAAGAATTCAACATCATCAGGAAAAGGCCAATCAAAACCACAATGAAATATCACATCATATTTTTTTAGAATATTGCCAAAAAAGTGAAGAGATAATGTGTGCTTTCCAGGGTATAGAAAGAAAAATGAATAATTAAATTTCCACAAAATTAAAAGCCTATGGTTTTCAAAGACTCTGTTGAGAAAATGAAAAGCTAAGTCTTGTACAGTGGTGCATGCCTATAATCTCAGTGACTGGGGAGGCTGAGGCAGGAGAATTCAAGTTTGAAGCCAACTTAGGCAACTTAGATTGTGTCCCAAAATAAACAAAATAAATACAAAGGGTTGGAGATATGATTCAATGCTAAAAATGTTTCAGGGTTCAGTCCTCAGTACTGCAAATAAAATAAGAAAGAAAGAAAAAATGGAAGGCTATATCACAAACTTGGATAAAATCTTGCAAAAAACATATCTCTCAAAGGACTTATAAAAAGAATACATAAAGATCTCTCCAAACTAAGCAATGAGGAAACAACCTATTTAAAAATGGGCAAAAGACATAAACATACACTTAACTGAAAATTTTATACAGATGGCAAATAAACACATAAAAATGTTCAACATCATTATTCATTAGAAGATACAAATTAAAACCAGAGTGAGATATAACTATATATCTATTAAAATGGCTAAAAGAAACATTACTGATGATATCATGTGTTGATAACTATGTAGAGCAACTGAAACTCATATTAGTAGTAATATACAAATTTTCCCAAACTGTCATTTGGAAAACTGTCATTATCTTATAAAAGTTAAGGAAACACCTACCATACAACCCAGCAATTCTAACCCTAGGCAATTACCTCCCAAAAATCAGCGATGTAGGTTCTCATAAAAATCTTATACTGAAATAGTCATTTCAACTTTATTCAAAACAGCTCAAAACTGGGAACCCAGATGTCCATTAACATGTGAATAGTTATAAGACACAACTATTGACACATGCAACAACAGGCATATATAAGGCATATGTATTAAAGACATTATATTAAGTGAAAAATACTATACACAAAATATCCAACTATATGATTTAATTTATATGACAGTCTACAAAGAAAAAAATTATGATAAGAAAAAGCAGAACATTGTTTACCAGGGTCAGGGGTGGGAAGCACAGATTGACTGCAAAGGGAAGATAAGAAAATGCTTTTATTTTCCAGTACTGGGGCTTGAACCCAGGAGAGCTCTAGCACTGAGCTACATGTCCATCCCTTTAAATTTCTGATTTATTTATTTTGATTTTGTGACAGGATCTCACTAAGTTGTGCAGGCTGGCTTTGATCTTGTGGTCCTTCTGCCTCAGCCTCCCCAATAGCTGGGCATACAAGTATGTGCCACCATGCCTGGCCAAGATAACTGTTATGGATTAATAAAAATTCATGCCTATAATCTCAGAAATTCAGGAGGCTGAGGAAGGATGATGTTGAATGCCAGCCTTGGCAACCTACTGAAACCCTATCTCAAAATTTAAAAAAAAATAATAAGAATAAAAAATAAAATAGCACCTTTTCTTGCTATTGGAATCCAGTGGGTAGAGTCCATAAATGCTGTTAAAATACCTTAAAATGCACAGGGCAGCCCCAAATTGAGAACCATTGTTCTGTATTCTACTTTCTTCACTCTACAGGATGACTGTGGTATCTATATGTTGCTATAACATAATTATATCTACTCTGTTTCTTGCTACACAATACTACAAAATCAACATCCTCATGTTTCTTATCCCTCATGCTAGGGATAAATTTGTAAGTTGCTTCTAACTGTATGCCACCATACACAACACTGCCATGCAATCAATGGCCTTGTACATGTTGGCTCTGGAGCTCTGTAAGAACTTCTCTGGGATATAATTTAAGAATAGAACCACTAGGTGAACATACTTTATATACAAATAGAGATATGAAAAATTGTGCTCTATATGTGTAATAAGAATTGTAATGCATTCCGCTGTCATGTATTTAAAAAATAAAATCAATAAAAAATAAAATTAAATTAAAAAAAAAAGAAATAGAGCCAGTAGGTCATAAACATGCTCAACTTTTATAAATACTCCTCAGGTGCTTTCAGGAATGGCTAAACAAGTTTATATACCATGTAGAATAGAGTTATATATAAGACCGTAGGATACTATTCTTAGAGAGACCTGGTTGAAAGTTTTGCCCTGGACTAGCATCTTGGAACTTGGATTTCAAGAGGGTTCCCTGCTCTATGATAAACATAGTTTACTACCTGGACACAGTTATATACACCTATGATCCAAGCTGCTAGATATAGGAAAGCTGAGATAACTTAGTAAAACCCTGTCTCAAAATAAAAATAAAATAAAATGGGCTGGGGTTGTAGCTCAGTGGAACAATTCCCCTGATTTCAATCCCTAGTTAAAAAAATCTCACTGTGCCTGTTCAAGCATTGTGGTTTATGTTGAACAAGTGCTTTCCTTCTGAGAGTCTGAAATTTTGTATATGCTAGGCGGAGAGTGCCTATGTGACCAATAAATGAGAAAAAATTTGGATATGAAGTGTCTAATAAATTTCCCTGACAGACATTTCACATGTTGTCACAACTCATTACTAAGGGTAAATTTAAGTGCATCTTACCTGACTCCACTGGGGGAGGACTCCTAGAACCTTGTGTCTGGTTTCAGCTGGACTTAGTCCCCTGTATCTTTTCCTTTTGGTGATTTTTCTTTGAATCCATTCAGTATAATAAACATAGCATTGAATAAACTATATGCTAAGTCCTGTGAATCCCCCTGGCAAATCACTGAACATAAATGTGATCTTAGGGACCACCTCAATGCACATCCCCATAAGCAAGGTAAGAAAGTTTCTAAAAGACTTATTTGTAATGGCACACTTTGTGTCATTTGAATTTTGCATCATATGTGTGCATTTCTTCTTTAAAAGTAAATATTTTATAAAAATGGGAAAAAGGGCTGTCAAAACAACCAGGTTATCTGTGAATGAGATCCAAACCATGTTAGAGAACCACAGAGGTCACATACAGAAACATCCCCATACTCTACAGGAGGCAAATAAAGCCCCAAGAGGACAGGGTACTTGTATAGAATTACCAAGACCATTATCATAGGCATAGATATCAAATCCTCAATGTCCTATTTCCTAGTGTTCCTTCCTCTAGGCCCATAGCACCTTTTCTTGCACTTGTTGATTCTACTACTCTAGTGCTCTCACCTAAATGCCTTTCAGAGCCCTTACTCTCTTGCTAACTCTGGCCCCCTTTATTTCCCAAATCTTGGAATTACCATGTAATGAATATGTTGAGTTCCTCCCAAAATACTGACTCTCATGGAAACTGAACCCAACAAGAAAACAAAATAGAAGCTAAAGAAAAATCCTACTTATAACTATCTTGAAGTACAAGGAAAGGAGAGTGGAATTGAAAAGAAAGAGAATCCTAGGCCAAACCACAGTACCTTCTTAAACCCTCATATCCTTTTTAAAGACCAGGAATCAAAAGCTGGGCTAGAGAGGAACTTGTCCCTCACTACAGGATAAAGCAGATGAGTAGAATCAGACATGCTCCTTCTATTACTTCCTAATGGTATTTCAAAAACCTCCCCAGGGTCGAGATATAGCTCAGTTATTAGAAGCATTAGAGTGCTTGCCTTGCATGTACAAGGCCCTGAGTTCAATCCCCAGCACCACAAACAAAACAACAAAACACTTCCCCAAAGGGATAAGATACTTACATGCTCTAGGAAGCAGGGTCCTATCTCACTGAGGTGGGGGTCATCATTGTTGTACTGTTTCTCCAGGTCTCTCACGAAGCCCATTTGAAACCTATAGATGTCTTCAATGTTCCCAAAGATTACCTTCAGTTGTTCATCGCTGAACATGTCCCTTCTCTTCCGGCACTGCTTCAGGTAGCCCTGAAGACAAAGGAAAACTCCAAAATGAAGATGTCCACTACTCTCAGAAGGCTTCATTGCTTCCCAAACACTTGAGAGCATCACTTCAGCTCCATGAAGTAGGCAGAGAATAGTCATTTCCAATTTTCATATAAGGAAATTGAAGTTTAGAGAAGGAAGGATACTTCACTAGTAAGTGATTTCCGCAAACGTCTTCAGAGTATAAAGACACCAGAGTGCAGGGTTTTCCCCACCATTCTTTATGATTGGGACCCCAACATCAAAGGGCCCCTTTCCAGAAGGTGGTTTTGCACAAACTTATCTTAGTAGTTATTGGTTTAGCTGGATCCATTCACATTTCTTAAGTTTTATTCCTTATAAGACAAACCCAAATGTCTTAATAATTTTGAGAATAATCTGGCAATGGAGGGCAGGGAGGAAAATTTCCAATAAGGGAATGTTAATTGACCAAACTAAACCATTTTTTAAGGTGAATATCTCAGCTATCTAAGGTAGCTGGCCTGAAGAGATTATTTGGATGAGCTCAGCCCAAAAGCCCATGAGTGCCTGGGCATGGTATTTCTAAGAGGGTAAGTGTTAGGGCACATTGATGAATAAACACATGAATTAATACAGATACTCATGACGAAAAGAGAAGGGATGAAAGGAATCTTGGTTTGGTAAATGAACACTGAGGCAATATAATGAGATCTGGGGCACACTATAAGTCAGGGAAATAAAAAAAAAAACACAGCTGAGGGGCTGAGGTTGTGGCTCAGCGATAGAGCACTTGCCTAGCACATGTGAGGCACTGGGTTTGATCCTCAGCACCACATAAATAAATAAATAAATAAATAAATAAATAAATAAACAAACACACACATAAATAAATAAAGGTATTTTAAAAACACAGCTGAAATTGGGTCTTCCATTCTAAACCTACTTGTGTGGATTCTTTAACTGATGATTATGTCCTTATTAGAAACTGTTAGTAAATAAAAATGTTCTAGGTGAGAATGAATTATGCTCACTTGCTTTCATCTAAAAACTAAATGTAATTTTCTGTACACCTTCATTATGTACTGAGGCCCTAATGAATGGAGTGTATTTAGTTTCTGATTTACCATATTTACCCTGCCTCCATCCTTACTTTGTCTCCTTTAACACAGCTGCCAATGAGGTCATTTAAGAGTACTCCAGGATGATTCTCATCCCTGGTGTCAATTCCTTTACCCACCAGTTTCAAAATCTCATTTCTATTTCTCTTCTCATCCACCAAATTCATGCATTAATTTGTAAGTATACTTCAAGTTTTCAAATTAATAATCTGTGCCTGTTTTGACATCTATTTAACTGAAGTCTTCTACCTCATAGACTGGCATGCTCAAGATTTCCTGCATCCTTTCATATCCAGTGCTTGACCAGAAAGAAGAAGCTCTATAATTCCTATAATACTTTTCTGGCTTCACTCTCTTTACTAAACAATCTCCCAAAATTCTGCTTTCCTAGAAAGATTTCCTTGACTAATAGAGAATCAATAAACTGTAGCCCCTTCTTGCTTAATATGTAACTTCTAGGGCTTAATCTGTCTGGGTTGGTCTGTGTGTCTGCCTGTGTGTGTATGTATTTTGTGTCACCCTACCACCTTTGATAGTGTCTTAGCCACAATGGATTAGGGAGAGCAGTGGGCATAATGTAACAACATTAAGCTGAGGGACAGAAGCTTCCTCAATTCTGCTCCCATTTTTTCTCCATAAGATAGGGCCAAGGATGAAAAACAAACTTTCAGTTTGATCAAATTAAAATGCTAATACCCCTTTAAATTTTGGGTTTTTGATAAACACAAAATTTTTGGCATATTTAGTAAAATTTTAGTATAAATGTCTCAGATTTAGCATATCACTTCTTGGTAAGCAGTTGGTAATGATAAGTGATTGCACTGAGTCCAGCCTAGACAGCTCCTTTGTTCCCTGGGAAGTCATTTATAAGGAAGGAACCAAACATCATAAAATCCCCAAAATGCAGCGAGAATGCTAGAATTCAATGTTATATTTCATATAACAGAAATATAAAGGAAGAAAGTGATCTCTGTAAAAGAGGGTGGGAGAGAACATCAGTTCAGTTTCCTAAATTCTCCAAATATGCCATTCATTGCCATTATTAGGGAAATTATTTTCTATTAGATTATGTTTGCTGGGATTAAAGATGCACATTAGGACAAATATGACTGTCCACAGGATGGTGGGAACCTGGAGTGTTTTATCAATTGTTGCTCTTAATGCTAGATTGTAAATATGTTACATGTAGCTGGATGGAATATGACATAACTATTAAAATTATTATGAAGACTATGTAGAAATATGAAAGAATGTTTATGGCATCATGTTAAAAAGCAGAACATAAATGTTAGATCCCTATGATTAGAACACTTCAAATATATATGTACATGTACACATTTGAAAGTGTTGAAAGGATTATGCAAAAGCAAAATTTTGTTCTATTTTGTGGGTATGACTGATTTTGGTACTATTTTTAAACTTCCTGTAATGCTTTTTTTAAATTGTCTTCATGATTAAACGTGAGAAAAAGCCTTTTCCGGAGAGTATAAAGAAAATACAGCTATAAGAAGGCTTCCTTGAATGCAATATTATCAATGAAGAGGGAAGGATTAAATGAATGCCTTATAAAAATTTCCTCCAGCACAAGGGTGTTTAAAACAAGTGACTTGCTGAAAGGTTTACAAACAATTTTTAGAAACTACATTTATCAAGGAATAAAGGATAGGATAAGAATATGTGAGTATTTGGAGCACCCTAAAATGTTAACTTCAACCTCTATATCATCCAAATGTCTTAGCTTCTGGGAAAACAAAAAATGAAGAAATATGAACAGTTCACTGGATTCTTACCTTTATTTTTTATCCCCTTCCTTTGTTTGGCCTGATGACTATTGAAATTTCCACAGCAGTAATGAACAGAGATTTGGTTTAGGGACCTATCAGTATCTGTTGCTTCTCATTCACTCATTTTTGAAGGTATGTAATTTTAAGATGAACTGGCCATGAAAAGTGACTGCCAAAAAACCCAAAACTTAATATCATTTTAAGTTATTGAAAAGAAAATATTAGATTGAGAAGCAAAAATGAGAAAGGTAACGGAAGGTAGTCACACCACTGCAGGACAGTTCCAATCAATTCTGTGGGACCCTTCTCTCCAGTCCCTTTTCAGAGAAGCATCAAGAAAACAGTGCACAGTCAGAAGGGAATAAGCAGGATCTAGAGGGACCTGAAAAGCAACACCATTAAAAATGGTGGAAGGGGTCAAGTATATTTGTCTTGTAAATGACTCAGGGGTCCTCTGAAGACCTATGACAGGTGAGAGAGGGAAAAGAAGGGGTCCATAACTTTTACTTTCAGGCATGTTTCAAACACTCTCTCTGACCCCTGTCTCAATGGGAAGAGTAAATAGGTGCTATAGAAATAGGAATGAACTAATTCAAGAGTTGCTGTTTATGAGCCTCACTTGTGTTCTGGGGGGTAATATGGGCATATAATAGAAGGAAGACCACAGAGTAGTAAAGAATTATGTGGGTGTTATCAAATCAGTCACAATTGGCATGAATCAGCACTGGCATTGCTATGGTAACAGCCAAGGAATGTTGCTCATCCATTTCACTTTGTTCTTAAACCCACAAGGGCTAATGTACAATTCTAAATCTAGTGCGTTGATCCAGAAATAGTGCTTTGACATGGAATATAAACCATACCTAAGATTTGCAGGGAAGATTCCAAAGACTGCTGAGAAGTAAGATGGATCAAAGAGCCTCCGGATCACCCATGATATGAGAAAATCTTTAGGGAAGTCTATACCTTATTTTCTTCAACTCTAAGTTGAAGGTATCAAAAATTATTTCATTGGCTCCTTTCAGGTCTCATTTTCTTGGTTTTGTGGGGTTTTGTTTGTTTGTTTCTTTTTTTGGTTTTGATTTTGGTTTTTTTGGCCTGGAAGTCTGAAGACTGATGTGAAATCAACAAACCAACAAATATCTTGAGTATGAATTTAAGAAAATAGAGAGATAATAACCATAGTTATCTTATTCACAGCTATTTCCTTAGAGTTTAACATAATACCTGGCATATAATTGTGCTCTGTAAGTATTTGTTGAATAAATGCAAAATGACTAACTCTTCCCTGCTAATGATGGCAAAACATAACTTAAAAGGAGGATATTTAAATTGATGGCTTTCTTTTTTTCTCCTTTTTGGGATAGGAAACTCTTTCTTTAAATGAAATAAAACCATTTTTTTAAAAAGGAGGTAACAGGAAGAATTTTTTTTTTTTGGTACTGGGGATTGAACCCATAGGCACTCAACCACCTATTCATATCCCCAGTCTTTTTTATTCTTTAATTTGAGACAGGGTCTCACTAAGTTGCTTAGGACCTCACTAAATTGCTGAGGCTATCCTCGAAAGTTTAATCCTCCTGCCTCAGTCTCCCTTACTGGGATTATAGGTGATACCACCATGCCTAGCAAGGAAGAAGATATCTTCAACAAGGAAAAATGACAAAACAACATCTGGCATATTCAAGGTACTCCTATAAATCAACAAGGAAGATATGAGATACTATAGGAATATGGGAAAAGGATAGGAACAGTGCTTAGAATGTCCATGGGGTCTATATAGGGTAGGGCTTAATGTAGGCAAAAAACCCTGAGCTGGTCACTTTAGGCTAACTAGCAGCCTCACCTTTTTACCAAAGTATGCTATCAAAATATTACATTCTACACAATGTGTGATCTTTTTCTATATATACCAAAATATAGGAACAATTGGGAAATACTGGGATAATCAAATTAACAAGAAAATCCAAATAGCTAATAAATTTGAAATCTCGGGTTTGAACACATCAAGTGGAAATGAAACTATAGCATGATAAAATTGATTAGACTTGAGGAAGAATTACTTCATAGTGAAGGATATGAGATATTAATATAGGTATCTCTGGAAAGTTGCTCTAGGCTTCTTTTCCATGTTTAGAGGTCCAAGGTTGGCTTTTCTGTATAGGTGCTGAATATTCCTAGGGAGCAGGCCTAGTTCCCAAGATCCCGAAAATGTGAGATACTGGAAACCTTCTAAGACTCTCTAAGTCCACAGGGTAGAAATCTACTGCCTTAGATCCAGACTGTTGGATGGGTAGACACACAAACAACATGAAAAAGCAAGGGAACAAATCACTCCAAGCAAACAAAGATACTCCAATAACAGAACCCACTGATACCACAGTGGAAGAAATATAAGAGAAGGAGTTTATAATGTACATAGTTAAACTGATCTGTGAAGTAAAAGACAGTATAAGGAGTAAAATCAGAGAGAAAATACAGGAAGTGAAAGATCACTTCAATAAAGAGATAGATTCTGGGGCTTGGGCTGTAGCTCAGTGGTAGAGCACTGCCTTGCACATGTAAGACATTGGGCTCAATCCTCAGCAATACATAAAATAAATAAATAAATATATTGTGTCCATCTACAACTAAAAAAATATTTTAAAAAACCCCAGAAATCCTCAAAATGAAATGTCTCAGGAAAGCTGGACTAGCTCCTGTGCATGCATTTTAAGACAGAATTTATTTCACAGATACAGAATGACTTGAAAGAGCTCATCTTCCCCCAAAGAGTCAGACAAGACAGCTTTATAAGGCATCTTTAGTCCTGGTTTCCCTGTGCCTCAGTTTCCCTGATTGGTAAATGAGTTCTGAGGTTACAAGAGACAATATAATCAATCATTGGTCATGGTGATTTAGAGTTAAATTGAAGGTCTCATATACTACTGTCTGGATTTAGAAATAAGAATATGGTCTTAGAGTAGAACTTGGCTCATTCAAAATGACCTTTTATTGACTTTACTGAATAACTTTCATTAAAAATCATTTATTTACAACTTACTCATTTGTAAAATGAAAGTGTTGTACCTTAAATGTTTATAAAGCAATTTCTGCTACCAGCAGTGTGTATATAATATAGATAGATTGATATACATACATATATATATAGAGAGAAGAAAGATTCTCTAATAGTGTCTTTTTTCTATACTGAATACAGTGTCTCTCATTTTCCCTCCAATAAATACAAGAGTGAGAATTATTTAAGCTCTTCTTGACCCACAGAAAAAGAAAATCATGTCATATTGAGTAAAATGTGCCTCCATGGGTACCAAGAAGAAAGTAGAAAATTCAGAAGAATCCTGTAATACTACAACTTTCTCTAGTGATGGCATATCTACATCTTACAGAATCACAAAAAGTAAGAGCCAATAATCACTTAAACAGCAACTCCAACCTACTCATTTTAGAGATGAGTACAAGGTCCAGGGTGAAAAAGACTCTCCTGAGCCTTCCTAACCAATCAGTGACCCAAATGGAACCTTAAATGGGCATCAAAAATTCTCAGTCTGGTATTCTTTTTGATAGATCATTTGTTCCTCACAGGATTCAGTTTAGAGGTGACACAATCCAGGGCAAAAATACTGTCTCTGGCTCAACTAGATGCAGCTTTCTCCAACTGTCTTTGACATCTGTGGCTACAGTAAAGGACAAAGGGAAAGATTTCAAGACATCAACAAAAGCTACTAATTAGGTTGGCTATATTGAGCAAATCCTCAAAGTAAGGTTATAGCACTCCATATGGGAAGATGAATACTCCATTATGTGTTCTGTAAGAATAGGCCTAGATATTTGGGAGTTGGAAACAGATGATCCTCTAAGACTAAAAGACTCCCACGGGGCCATTACCTGGAAACTCTTAAGAAAATATTCTGTTTCTTAGTCACTCAATCTGTTGATTCCAAAAATAGGAATAACAACTTTTGCTCTGTTTGAAAAATAAATGGCATATAATGTAAATATATTTTGACATGGTAGTATACATATATATGTGAAAAATTATATTTAATTCTTGTTTTAAGCAATACTTATGAAGCATCTACTATGCTCCAGGCATTGATTAGGGGCAACGCATCAGAAATCATGAGATGAAAACCCCTGCACCTCAACAGAATTTACATAATGGTGGGAGATGGACAATAAGCAAAATATATAAGTGAAATATATATCAGCCATAGTGTAATTGAGAAAAATTAAAAAGGAAAGGGAGAAAGGCAATACAAGTTTATAGATAATTGTCAGGCAAGTTTCTACAAAAATGTATTACTTGAGTAAAACCTTGAAGAAGACAGGGAAGGCAGCCATGTAGATATCTGGAGGAGGAATATTCAAGGCAGAGGACAATACAGTGCAAAGACTCTGAGTGAGAGAGGAGGAAACTGAAGATCTGAAAAGTTAATGGGTCATCTTTAAGAACACAGGGATAATTAATAACTAAGGATGTAAAAGCCAGCACTCCCTGTCCCCAGAGTCCTTGTTCTTTCTCCCCTACCTTATACTGCCTCATGAAGAGGGGGAAGATAGCCTTTAATCTTCCAAAAAGGGGTAAGAAAATGTTGAGGTAAAGAAAGTTAAAGCCCATAGGTAATGAAAGTTAAGACCCACAGTCCTTGGCCTTGGTCTTCTCAGAAGAGCCCTGTCCAATATGGTTGCCATCAGTAGTATGTGGTTAAATTTAAGTAAATTACATTTAAATAAAATTGAAAATTATATTTCTCTGTCACACTAGCCACATCTAAAATGTTCAATTGTCAAAAATGGTTGGCTAATAGATACTATACTGGAGAGGGAATGAAGAATACTTTACCCAGTAGGTAGCACTGATCTAGAGAAACAAGAATGTTGAAAAATGTTGTAGTACTACTGACCTCAAAATGGTCCCAAGGCTGGGGGATAGAAAGTAGGATTTGATCTCTCCTCTAGAAGGAAGGAGACAAAAAAGACTTAAAGAAGAATTTTCCCTGCATCAAGTGGAAAGCTATCATTGTGTGTGTTTAGTTCTTTTTCAAAAACATATTACTACAGAGTTGAGACTATAGCTCAGTGGTGAAGTGATTGCCTGGTATGGGATACGTCCTGGATCTGATGCCCAGAACATAACTTTTTTCCCATTTCTCATAACTGTTTAGTAAAATGCCCTTTGACAATGTCAGCTTGCCTCTACTGAGCTCAAAAGAATATGAGCAGAAAAGCTCTCACCTTAGGAGAGGAAGATATAGAAGGTATGGGGTTAGTAATGTATCAAAGTGACATACTGAAGGAACTGAAGTTTGTCCTTCTAGCCTTCATCTTTTATGGATTACTTTTCCCAAATTCTTTTCTGCTCAAACCAATAAATGTTCTCCATGTGAGGGAGGAGGACCAGTAGCATCAGCCTCACCCTTTATACTTAGGGATGCTTAAGCCTTAACCCAACCATAAAATTGATAACTTAGGTTCCAAGAGTGAGGATGCTGGGATCTGCATGCTTAACAATCTCTCCTGGGGACTCTGGTGCACATTCTAGAATGCCAATTACTAGCTTGGAGGAACATGTGTTTTGATTTAATGAGTAAGGAGAGGCCCTACATGAGAGCAGAAGCTGGATCCAAAACAAAGAGGGTAAGGGTAGTGTTATGGTTTGGATGCACATGTGTGAAACAATATAAAAATGTTCAGAGAAGAAATGATTGGGTTGTGAATGTCTTTTTTTGGTGGGGGTTGGGGGGGGGCAGTTACCGGGGATTGAACTCAGGGGCACTCAACCACTGAGCCACATCCCCAGACCTATTTTGTATTTTATTTAGAGAGAGAGTCTCACTAAGTTGTAAACCTCGCTTTTGCTGAGGCTGGCTTTGAACTCGTGATCCTCTAGTCTCTGCCTCCAGAGCCACTAGGATTACAGGTGTGCAACACTGAACCCAGCTTTGTTTTGAGAGTCTTAACCCAATCAGTGAGTTAATCCCCTGTTAGTGAGTAAATGAGAGGTAACTGAAATGGTAGGGAGTGGCTTGTGAGGCTATAGCAAGTCTTAGGCATATATATATATATTGTATCTAGTAAGTGGAGACCTTTCTTTGCTTCCTTATCACTATGATGTGAGCTCCTGCCCTCTGCCACACTCTTCCATCATGATGTCCTGCCTCACCTAGAACCCTGAGGAATGGAGAAGGCCTTCTATGGACTAAGATCTTTGAAACCATGAGCTTTCAAATAAACTTTTCCTTCTCTATAATTGTGCTGGTTGGATCCTTTAGTCACAATAGAAAAAAAAAGCTGACTAAAACAGGTAGAGATTCAAGCTAAGGAAGGAGACAGACATGGGGGAAAATGTAAAGGGGAACAAAGAGAGAGAAGGGGAGGGGAAGGAGAGAAAGTGAATATGGATGCATGAATAATAATGAGAAAAGGAGAGAAACCAAAATCAAGAATCTTAAGGGAGCAGTTTCATACATTTGCCTAAACAGGTTGTTTTTACCCCACTGAAAAGCTGTTGATCCCACTAAATAGAATCTGGCAGGCCAATTCATTTGCCCTTTCTAACATCTTGGGACCATCACAGGCAGGCCCATGAGGGCTGTCAGTTCTTCATGAAAGTACCCTCCACCCCACCTTGTGGGCCCCCACATGTAACACCATGACTACCTCACAAATGTCCTTGAGGTGCTTGATGTAGTGACGCTCAGTACTCATGATCTCATTGATGACATTGGCCCGCATCTGGTCCCGGTTCTGTAGTGGCCGGCCCAGACATAGGCAGTCTGAGTTGGGGTCCAGGTGGCCATTCTGCACATCACTGGGCCCTTCCTCCACCCCATCCTCCTGGTTCACCCAGAGCTGTAGAAGCAAGCAGAAAAAATAATAATTTATTAACCTCTCTTCTTTGAAGACTTTCAGTCAAGTAGAAAAAGGACAAATTAAAACTTTTAGGAATTCAGAGAGCCTTCAATCAAAGGTCCCTGCAAAGAGAATGTCAGATCTGGCCCTGAGCATGATTCAAATCCTCTCTAGGTCTCTGGTGACCTATCTGTAAGATATGGGCATGAAGAAATGTTCTCTGGGTAGCTTCTTGGCCAAGAAGGTCTCAGAAGAGTGGTAAATGGTGGCAAGAAGAAATTGTTTATGCTGAAGCACATCTAGATAACCCGGCAGGATCAAATAAAAGAAAAAAATTTAAACTATACATCTTAAGTGCCACAGCTGGATTATTGTCAAAACACAGCATTTAAGTGCCTATGAGTGTGACCATCAAAGTTAGATGCTGAAGTGGGTGTCTCACAAAGAGGGCTTTTGGTATGACTTCCATCACAGGGTGTACAAATAATAATAAAATTTTAACTGTAAAATTCCTGGGACATGCAAATATTTCTAACCCTTCAAGATCATGATGGGGATGGCATAATATTTCCCAGGGACCTAATAATAACAGTCACTGATTAAGCACTTAATATACAACAGGAACTATGCTAAGAACTTTCAGTAAACTTATATTCAGTCTTGCTAAGTAGGTACCATTGTTACTCCCATTTCACAGAAGAGGAAACTGTGGCTAAAAGAAATTAAGGCATGAGTTTGAAGTCACACAGGAAGCAGAGAAGCTGGGATAAAAGCCAGACAATTTGATTCTACAGCCTACCCACTTAACCACTATTCCAGAAAATTGTGCCTCTGACTCTTAAGGGGGGCATGAAAAAAGATGGAAAGGGTTTGGGCCAATGTGGGGTGAGAATTATTAGAATAATCAGAACTGGATATAGTTGACACAGATTGAAACTGTCTATTCCAAATCATGAAGTTGGAGGGAAGCTGGAAAAACTTCTTTTGGGAAAGCTGGGTGATTTGGAATAGACTTAGCTTGAATCAAAGAGATGACCTATTTCACCTCAGTCCTAGAAAGGGGGAAAGCATGGCGGTAGGGAGAAAAAGATGGCTTGGAACCCTAGGGAGAGTGGTAAAATTTGTCAAGGTTAATTAGATAAGGAGCTTGCCAATTGTCTCAACATCATTAATCAATTCTCCATACTTCCCTTCCCTACTCTCCAATTTTTTTCCACATCCCTGACCCAAGAAGATCAGATCAAACAATTTAGATTCATCTCCATTTCTGCCATCTGAAAAGCCTGTTAGTATGTGGCTTTAGGATAACAGAGGCTTTAAGATGAAGCTAGAGGAAGAGTAGTTACTTCTCAACTCTGTGTATTCTTCCTTCTCAGTTTCTTTTCTAGGAGGCAGGGAGCATTGTTATCTGCCAGGAAAACCTAGAGATGTTATTAGCATATATTCTACTTCCTTGCTACAGGCCAAAGCAAGTAGTGATCACTCTGTTTTAATATATTTTACATAGTCAAGTGTACAAAATTTATCTAACCCCAAATCTATCACCTTCCTTAAATTCTCTATTGGAAATCTCTTCCAAAAGTCAGTTTTGTGCCTTCAATATGCTAATAGCTACCATTTAATATAATTGAGAGACAATATGAGAGATGATTATTCAAAGGTTGAGACCTGCTGAAAAGGTGATTCCAAGGCACCCACAGTAAACACCTGATATGCATGATGTTGCTATTTATAATAATTAAAACATCACTCACAAGCAATCTATTAGCTTGCTCTACTTCTCAGACTGAGCTAAGCCCTGCTATACAAAAGGTACCACTGTGAGGCCTTTAAAATATAAGAATCATTTATTTTCTTCTCTGGAGTTTAAGACAAATTCAAGTCAAAACATTGGTTTTTGGATGACTGAAATAAGATGGAATACTTAGAATAGTTCCAGTGGGAAGGAATACAGAATATGAGGCCAGAAAACTAAAAGGTGAGGAAGGCAACTTCATTCCAACAACCCCAGAAACCCATTCCTTAGGTTAAGACACTGCTTTCATCCAAAATAACTATCAGTATATTCATTCATTTATTCAATAAATCTATGTCAATGCCTACCATAGGTCAGATATTGGGGATAGAGCAGCAAACAAAATAAACAAATATTTCCCTTTGTGGATCTTAACTTTGGAGAGACAATGTTTCCTAGCCTAGAAAAAGGTGCCATGCAAGGCACAAAATATTGTGTTCCTGAACTCAGGGTCATAGAAAAGATCCTCTAGGCCTTATGATATGACGTTTTGGCCTAACCCCTAAGTCTCTGTTCTTGAGAGTTTCCCTATTCTGTGCAGATGAAGGCCCTAGTCCACTTGCATGTCAGAGTGCAGAGAAACAGGTGAGCCTATAAGCTTCTCTTCCCTGGGTGGAATTTCAGCCCCGAATGCCATTATCAACCTGCACAATGGCCTGTGTAAGTTAATGTGTACCTTTCTACAAGTGCTAAGAGCCAAGTATATGATGCATGGCATTTTTAGTCTAAAGGTGACGCCAGCTAGCCATTGAGATGATATGATTATGTTAAGATTTGCATTCATATGGATATTGGACTCCTGCTGTTCACCTAGGCCGGCTACAGGACTCCTGGAGAGTTCCCATTGGTTGGGGAAGTACAGTAGGAGGGAGTTCCGGGGGAGGAGCTCTCTCTGCGG